ATTATTTTTAATTTTAAAATTTTGAATTTTGAATTTTTTTTCGAAATTTTTTATGTATTTCCTAATATTTTGGATTTTCTATATTTGATATTTTTACAATTTAATTTATTTTTAAGAATACATTTTCAAAATTTAACATTTTAAACTTTTTTCCAAAGAAATTTGTTAAAACAAAATTTTTTCGAATAATTCTATTTATTTTTTTAATTTTTAATATTTTTAATCTGGAAATTAAGAATAACTACTTTTAAAGTAATTTAAAATATTGCTTCTGATTCTGTCACTGTTCAATTGAATATTTTATGGATATTCGTAGTATTTAAAAAGTAAGATTTTTTATTTTACAAATTATCAACAACTTAAATTTTTTATATAATTTATTTTTCAGTTTTTTTCATAGTTTTCGTATTATTTTACATAATTTGGTAGGTTTAAGAACCTTTTAAATTATAAATAATATTTATTTTCGATTTTTTTAATTAATTGTTTATATTGATATTTTTGAATACTATTAAAATTAAAAATTTTATTTTTAACCTATTTTTTTTTTAATTTTTAATAACTTTAAGTTTAATTTTTATTTTTTCTTCATATTTTGTTTCATTAACTTTTTTTATACTTATGTACTATAATATTTTTACGGAATTAAAATTTTTTATTATCATAATTCCAAATTTTATAATTTTGTAACTCCTGTCAATGAGTTCTCTTTTGCTTTTTCGTTACTTCCTCGCTAATATTTATTTTTATACATATCTCATAAGTTTTACTTTTTGCTTAGCACCTCTCACACGCTGCTCGTAATTTCAGCTCATTTAATTTAGTGTAATTTCAAATTATTTCGCCTCATTAACAAGAGTTCAAATTGAACCATTAAAGCGGTGGAGTGCTCAAGACGCTTTCGGACATTTAAAAGTCAACCGATGTCTTGGCGCACCACTTAGTCCGAAGTATGTATGTATGAATGCCAGTTGCCCCACACTATACACGTCGGCGTTTTGCTTTTTGCTTTGCATTTTCTTTGCACCTATAAAATATTCGAAAATTGCACTTCCGGCGGCCGACAGCTTGTGGCTGTGACAAACTGACTGCGCCGTCGTATTTATCATTCTTGTGGCTAATATGCTTTGTTTTGCTGTTGTTTTTGTGCTCGTATTTTAGTGTTTTTTGTTGCTTGCTTCCGTTGTGACTTGTGGCAAAGGTGTTTGAGAGGCGGTAAATATACGCTTTGACCACAAATGGGTTCAACTTAAAGGTGGAGGGTGAAAAATAACACAGCAAATCAAATATGCAAATCAGAGACCGACACTTTGAGGTTGATGTGTGCAAAAGCAATGCAATTTTTATAAAAATATATATAATATATGGGAAAACTGAGGTGTCTTTATGTATGTTTTTATTGGTGCTTTCGAGTGTTAGCCTCTAGAAACAGAATGTTTCAAACCGAAAGGTCCCTCATTTCGTCCCCCACCAAGATACTTCGAAAAGCAATCTACCTGAAATGAGTTAAATTGAGAATATTATTTCTAAAATTTTGAAATATTTTCATCTATCTTTTGTTACACAAGAACTTACATATTTGCAATTAATTTAAAAATATCTCTACTCGTTAGCAATTGAACATTTTATGTATCGACATCGACAGCTGCTGGCCACCAAGTGTCACACCGAAAATAGCTTTAAATGGCAGAGTGCCACATTGAGGCAATATTTACAAATTTGGCAGAATTACAAGCTACAACAATAAAAATCTTTGAAAAGTGAAACATTAAAGAGGGGAGAGCTAATTTGCAAAATGCTTTCAAAAAAAAAAAACGATCAGTGAAACAGAAATCATTTTATTAGGTATAAAGAGCTTGGACAACGATCTAGACCGATTTTATTTATGTTTAGCGCTAAACCACAATATTATTATGAAAACATAGAAATACCACATATGCCATATTGAGCCACATTAACGGCTTAAAGTTAGCTAGAAAGTCGAAAATTATTATATCGTGTGTATTTGGACTAGCAAAAGGTTTGGACTGATTGCGTTAACTTGTGACTATACTCAAGTATATTCGGAAACATGTTTTCACGCAATTTCATGAAGATAAAACGCACTCTGAGCAACATGCGCGGCATAAAGTCTGCTAAAATAACGAAAATGATCAAATAGCTACCATATACTAAAGCTGCGGTAATCCGTTAACCAATATTACTCATTTTCTGCACGCAACTGTAATACATCGAATATTTGACGTTCGTTTAATTTTTATAAGCTATATCTTACATATTGTCCGATATATACGGTATTTGTTGGTTGGCTTTAACCAAATGTTTGAAGTCTTTATATTGGGTATATTGAGACCAGGAACGAGGAGTAGTATTGACCAAATTTATTCCATATTTGATATTACAATATATTATTGCCAGAAAAACTGCTCTATAACTTTTTTAAGTAACTTCCCAGATTGGACAATATGATATTAAGTTTCAACAGGAAGTTTAAAATCTTTATATTGATTATATGGGGGCTAGAGAAAGTATTGAACGGATTTTACGCATTTTTTACACGAAATTACATTATTATTCAATCTCACATAACGACCTATATTTTCCGTAAAAAGTCAGTCACAGGTACTGTAGTCCACATATTCGGTATCTGGGTGCTTGAACAATTATCATATTATAATGGCACTATTTGTGCAAAGTGTCATTCGAATATATTCATTTGGAATTTAAAATTGTGATTGTGGTTCAATTTCGAAGACTTCTTATGAGGATAGTGTTAAATAACAAACTTATTTGAACTTGGTGGAGCAGGCCACGCCTCCAATTTTGATACCGGCTACCGGATATGAATACCTTTTTTACCATCTTGTAGGAGAAATAAAATGTTTCTCACTTTTTGTAGTTTTTAACATAACCGTTATATGGGGAGTGGACGCGGTTTTTACACGTTTCACCCATTGGGAATGGGTTTTCACACTGTTCGAGGGTGTGGGAAGTAGACATGGTTGTGATCCAATTTCGCCTGTTTTCACGATATCAGACTTTTAGGGCAATATTATGTAAAAACTGTCAATAATATTGGTCAGTCGGATTTCAACTCGTCTCGTCACCCAGGTAATTTATAGATATGTACCACTATACCTATCTCTTTCGGTTAAAATTAAAATAATAGGAAATAAAACAGAATTTCGGCTGCTGTCATACCCAAGCAACCATTGACACTATCGAATTTAGCAAGCTCCGCTTGCTGGTGAGCAGGCGTGTGAGACTGCAAATTTGGGTGCCACCAGTGCGACAGATGCGATAAAACTTTAAGTATGCACAATGACCTATACATTAATATGTACGTATGTATGTAAGAAACAGCACATGGCAGCTAGCAGCAGTTTCATACAAACAACAACAAACAGTGTTGTAACAAGCGCGTTGTGGCAAATGCCCGGCAGCCGCATGACAAGGCAACAATGTGTCGCTGTCACGCTTAGTCGGTTGTTTGGTGTGACCAGTTTGATGGTAGTTGCCGCTGCACACGTACACACCTACACACATACATACATTATACAGTGTATTACAGCATCAGGTGCAATTTAACGGCGCATACGCCGCCGGCCTGCTCACCTCTGCTTCAGTCTCACCCATACGCTCTGCTGCTCAATAAGTGTCTTGTAGATTTTATTAAAGAAGAAGAAAAAACAGAAGAATCAGCTGTGTGAAATATGAAACATCGTTGCTGTTGCATCACCTTTGCTGCGCGACTGAAGTTGGCAGCTTATTTCTTAAAGGCAATACAGCTACTGGGGCACTAACGGAGTCAATGAGGCTGACAGCTTTTTTGTATTTAATATTCTTTTTATTGCTGTTGCTGTTTCTGTAATATGAGTAGAATTTCGTGCACAATTTGGTTTTCCGTGGGGCCTTATTGACTTTATGTTGCAACATTTGCACATTTCTGTGTGTGTAATGTGGCACAACGATAAGGGTCATGCTACACTCTGCCTTCACCCATAATTTCTAATCAAATATTTATGTGTATGCGATGTTGCACATATGACTTATAGCAATCGTTTAGACTCGACTGCCCAAATATATATATAGTAGTAAAGAAGCTTAATTGCACTCACCTTATTTTAGTGCCCCCTTTTGTAGCTCTCATAATCACCTGTTCTTTCTCACATTAATATTTTTATACCGTGAACAGGGTAAACTATGTTTGCCACCCAGAAGGAAACGTCGGAGACCCTAATAAGTATTTATACGATCAGCGTAACGAGCTGAGTCGATTTAGAAATGTCTGTCTTTCGGTATATACGCGTACTAGTCCTTCAATTTTTGAGATATCAATATAAAATTTGGCATTCGTCCTTTTCTCACCAAGAAGCTGCTTATTGCTTGGAACCGCCGATAGCGGACCACTTTAACATATAGCTGTCATACAAATTAAGTGTTCAAAATGAAATTTTTGTATGGAAAACTTTTTATCCGACAAGATATCTTTACGAAATTCGGCATATATTATTATCCAAGGCAACTATACAATCTTCGTATATATTGTTCAGATCGGATCACTATAGAATATAGCTGCGATACAAACTGACCGACCAAACTCAAATTCTTGTTTGGAAAAATTTTTATTTAATAGGATGTCCTCACGATAATTGGTATGGATTACTGTCTAAGACAACGCTATAATGAGAATTGTTTAGATCGGACTACTATAGCATATAGCTGTCATACAAACTGAGTGATCAGAATCAAAATTTGAAATAATATCTTCAAGAAATTTGGCATATATTATTGTCCAAAGCAACGCCACAATCGCTGAATATGTTGTTTAGATCGGACCACTGTATCAAAATCAATATAAAGATCTTTAATATATACTATTTCATTTTAGTTATAAGTATACTATCTTAAAGGTATAAGAAATTAGCTTTGATGCAGTCGAAGTAAAATTTTTTCTTGTTTATTGCTTAAATTCATTTTTTTTGTTATTTTTATTGCAGAAGGAGACTCCATCCGATGTGCTGTTGCATCTGGCAGCACTACGTGGCGATGAAATCAACCTGCGGCGCGTACTTGACAGCGGCAAAGTGCATGTGGATTGTAAAGATGAAGTAAGTAGCGTTGTTTGCGTGTATATATATAGATTGTTTTATTATATACATATATACTAATATGCATATATATACATACTTGTATGTATTTGGAAGCATTGTTGTTTATCCATAGTTAGTTGAGTGGCATTTACTTTTGGTGCTGAGAGCGTAAATAATGACATTACTGTTTTTGTTGTTATTGTATACTCACCCTTTGGCTTTTCGAAGATAAAAATAAAATTAAAATACTTATTCAGGGTATTCACGTGGCCGTAGTTATTAGTTGTAAACTTAAAATTATTAAGTTTCATAAGTTGATGTTATATCTTTCTCATTAGAGTATCTTCTCGGAACGCAAATGGTTTTATTAATATTTTATAAAAATTTTTGAAAATCTGTGAAGCCCAAAATTCGTTAATGAAGTAGAAGAAAATTCGCTCTTTGAGAAATAATATTGGGCTTTTTGGAAGACTGGCAACATTTTGGAATTTATGCTGATTGAAAAGAATAAGAGACGCACCAAGAGGTAACTCTATCCTTAATAATTCTCTTCATTTTCATAAGTTTTTTTCTCAGCAATAGTAAGGCGATAGTAGTAGTTGAGACACAAAATGTATTGAAAGAGATAAATAACTTTCTATCTTGAGGAGCTAAGATAAGCCGAAGATAGTTTCGTTTGTATTAGTTATCGTTTTATAGGTTAGTAAAAACAGTTTTAAATACAGCCTATGAGTAAATATATGTTAGACTAGTAAAAATTAAACAAACATAAAAAAAACCAAGTTGAATTCAATTCAAAAATAGCTGAAAATTTTTACCTTTAAAGCCGGTACATTATGACTTTTAGGAATTGTGGGAGATATGAATATATTTTCTGAAACATCAATCAATATGTTAAAATGGTGGTCGTAACATATTGTTGTCGCTAATAATTATGTTAATTGTTGGAGTAATACAGAGCAGAAGCCAAGATAAGGTTACCACGAATTTTACAAAAAACGTTCCCCAATATTTTGAACGGAAGTGATAACAAGACCTAAAACTGCGTTTCTACGGCTGTGTTTTTATATTGAACACATCAAGAGACACGCAGGTCTTTATGATTGGCATGTCACTCAAATAAATTTCATATATTCAAGTATTTCACTCGTGAATATCCCTATTGATAAAATAAATCTCCCCTTTTTGCTAGTTAAATTTCAGTGTAGGGTGCGTGCTTGGGATGAAGTACTAAAAATAGTATGAAAATATGAATCCATGTTCCTTTGTATACTTGTGCGCGTAAGTTATTTCGCTCGAGTCAAGGCCACAATCTTTGAAGTGTTTTTATATTATTTTGTATACGAACTTTGTTCTGCTGGATTGAGAATGCAAGCATGCAAAAACTTATTAGGGCTTAATTAATCGCAATTTTGATGAGTGGGGTATCTGATGGTGTTGAGGAAATAGTTTTTTGCAAAGGTTTTAATAAAATTGAAAGGTTATAAAAATGTCTTGTTTTTATTTTCATAAGAGTTTCATATTTCTTACATTTGAATTTTAATTAATTTAAATAAAAAATGTATTTATGTTAATTTAAATTAGAAAAAAATTAAAATTATGGTATTTCATTTTTAGTTGAATTTTTCATTTCAAAATCTATTTTGATGCTTGAATTTTTACTTTCCTGGAATTTTAAATTAGTTTTAATAAATTAAATTTTAATATGGGTGTATTTGATTTTAATTTTAATTATATTTTGGAATTAAAAATTTTCCTTGATTCTAATTTGAGCTTTAATTTATCATATAAGTATAACTTTTAGCTACGTTTAAATTTTTAATTTCACGGAATTTTAAAATACTTTTGAATTTTACATTTAGTGATTTTAAATGTTTATTTAATTTGCATTTTAATTATGCTGTTTATCTTTACACCTAAAATTTAATTGTTTATTCATTCTAATATTGATTTTAAATTGAAATTTATTTTTTGAATTAAATTTTTATTTTTATTTAAATTGAAGGTAAAATTTTAATATTGAAGTATTTTAACAATTTTATTTTTAATTTTAATTAAAATTTAAATTTTAGTTGCAATGTTAATAATGTAATTTTATCAATTTGGTAATTAAAAGAATCAATATATATACAGTAATAATAATTTGAATTTTCAATTAAATTTAAAAATTAATTTCATTTTAATTTTAAATCAAATTCTTATTTTAATTTTAATTCCAGCGCAATTTTTAATTTAAAGTTTTTTATTAATACTAATTTTGATTGTTTAGTTGTTTAGATTTAGTTTTAGTTTTAGTTTTAATTTAAATTTTAATTAATTTTAATTTTAATTTTATTTTTCATATTAGTTTTAATAATAATTTTAATTGTAATTTAAATTAAACTTTTAATTTTCGTTTTAATTTTAGTTTTAATTTTAATTTAAGTTTTAATTTTAATTTGAATTTGAATTTGAATTTGAATTTGAATTTTAATATTAATTTTAATTTTAATTTTAATTTTTTTGTTAGGTAATTTTATCAATTATGGTTTGAAATTAAAAATATAAATTTAATTATTAATTAATAAAATTAATATAGAGGAATATTATTTATATTATTATTATATTATTATAATATTTATTTTTTAATTTAAAATTATATTTCTAATTAAATTATTTAGTTTGTATTAAATTTTAGCTTTAAAATATTTTTATTGGCACTAATTTATTCAAATAATTTAATATTTTTTTAAAATTAATTGGAGCTAATATATTATATTAAAAAAATTTCATTTAATATTTTAAGGAAAATCTAAGCATCTAATTTTAATAAAAAAAAAATATACATAAGTTTTTTTTTTTTAATTTATATATTCTTTTAACTTCAAAATTTTCAACAAATTTCTAATTTTCTATTTAGTTTAAAATTTACTCTTAAACTTTATAAATTATTATTGGCTTGACTTCATTTATTTAAATTTATGCTTACTTTTATGGAAAAAAAATATGCTCATAATTTTACAATATTAAGGGAGCGTAATTTCATTTTTTATTAATTTCTAATTAAAATAATAATTTCGCTTATTGGCAATTGCCCAACATTTGCCGGCACTTTCGCTTTTCTTAGACTCCGCCTGGCTAACAACGCTTTGGTGCACAAATAAATAATAAATAATTTTCACCGACAAAGCAAATGCCAAGCAGCAAGCGCCTTTTTTGGCGGCAACACCTCAATTCACTTAATATTAATATATGAATGAATGTAGTCAGTACGTGTATGTGTTTGTTTGCAACTTCGCATTTGCGGGTGTTTGCCGGTCGTGTTCATTGTTTACGCTTTTGGCTCGCATTAATTCCTAACCGAACGGGGTGTGGGCAAATCGAATCACGTCTGCACTCATTTCATGCCGCAATGCCTCATGCGATGCCAAAAAACTGCACTCAAGCGAAAATTCATTTGTATGTAATTCACAAAGCCGCTGTGCAACGGCACGAACGTGTGTGTGTGTGTTTGCGATGCGCAAAGTTGCGACTGCGCGAACGCGTCTAGTGAAATTTCGTAGTCGATTGTTAATTGGTGCGCGTGAAATTTGTAAACAAATGTGCTAATCATGTGGGTTGTATGTTTGGCTAGAAAATGTGCTAAATTTGTCTTTTCTTTTGTGGACTCTTTCGGACCAAGAAAGCTCCGGAAATGCAGATATAATATATCAATCGTTAGCACATTAGTAAGACATTGTGCGAATGAGAAATTGAATTTTCTATTGGCATTCACTCATTTTTCGAGTATTAAGAAAACATTAAGACCAATAGGTGACTAGAGGATTTAACCTTCGCTGAGAATATCCTTATAACATTTTTATGGTGTATTCGTTTGGTGGAGGGCGCTCAAAAAGCCTACACTCGTTAAGAAGCTTGAACGTGTCCAAAGAGCAGCTCTCATCGGCATCTGCGTGGCGCTGCGGACTACACCATAGCACCGGTAGATATTGTCGGCAGATGTATTGCTACGAAGGTCGTTTAAGGCTCAGAGAAGCTGAGTATATGAAGGGCTTCTACGCGACTGCGATATTCTTCTGGCCTATAATAGAACGTAGGAGATCTGCTGAACTACTTTCCCTTAGCAAAGTTCATCTTCTCGCAATTGTAGGAGTTCTTACTGGATATTATCTAATAGGCATTCATGCTGTAAGGATAAAAATTGAATCATAGGTAAATTGCCCAAGTTGTATGGAAGAAAGTGGAAACTTCCAGGCACTTTTTCCTCCATTGTATAGCTTTCGCAAGACTGAAATTTAAGCATCTCGGCAGTCATACTCGCGGAGAAACAGGAAACATAGACGAAACTGACATTAGACGACTCAACACATTTGTGTTCGGATCAAAGAGCTTCGGCAATTTATGAGCGTCTTTATGATTATTTTTATAGGAGTTCTTGGTACCACAACTCACCGGCGGAAAGGAAGATGCCTCTTAGGATCGACCATTTATCCTAACTTAGTTTCGGTTTCTAAGTATTGTAATGCTTTAAGTTTTTTTAAGTACTACTGGATCGCTAAGAGTGGTTCAAGATTAATGTTTCTCGACATATACTTCTAAGCCTAAGCTGTACTTTAAAAATCTAGCAGTAGCTTAAACATTTATTCTTTAGCTAAAGTTCAGTTCAAAGTCGTATGTCATCACATCAAAACCTTAATTCAAGATTATTAATTAGAGAAATATTTCAAAATTAAATTTCATATCTTTAGGATTTGGTATGAGATCTAGTTGTTCTTTCTTTCGAGTTTTCAGTTATATTCGATAAAGCAAGACAGCATGCAGTTGTCTAGAATTTAATTTGTTGCTATTATTATTTGAAGCCCTGTATGATATTTTTCGCCAGATTATTAGGTTCTGACGGCATTTCATAACATTATTTCATAACTAATACGATATTGGAGAATTCTTAATATATAACGATCAGTTCGAAACAAATCCTAATCCTCGAAATTTACATATTACATATGTATATATACAATAATATTCTTCGGAATCTATATTTTTTATTTGAAAAGGTTATAAATATAATTAAATTAAGGTAATTAAAATTTTCTGAATTATTTCAATGCTGAAATATTTCCATATTACTGTCATTTGCTTAAACCGGGATGTGACTATTTCGTTTGGTGATTTGTACTTATTATTCTTGAACGTCTCCAATCATTCATAATAAATCTCTATATAACTTAGGCATCCCCTTATGGTATCACCCTCTCATTCACATTTTTTATTGCATTTTTGCCGTTTGCCGACGCTGTAAACATCAGGTGCCTAGTTACACATACCCATCAGACAAACAGTAGCAATTTTTTCCTTATCAGTGATTTTCCTAATTTTTATTTGTTTGTTGTGGTTTAATGAAATCAGTTGCGTGTATTCGATATGGCGAAACGAACGCCTTCGTGGCGCGGCGCTTAATAATTTTGCGAACATTAAAACGAGTTTTTCATATTCTTTCAATTTCATTTGGCGAAACCGATTAAATTTCAATTTCATATGCATTTCATTATTTTGCGGTAGCGTTGCATAAATGCACTGAGTGCGTAATTGGTGAAATTCGATGCGGAAAAACATGAAAGTGCTGTAACCACAGCTGAGATAAATTGTGGTGGAGTTTTTGGAAAAAAAAAATTATTAATTGATTAGGAAATCAAAACATTGAGGTTTAGTTTTCCCTTGCATGTTTTAAAAACAATTTAAATTATTTCCTTGAGTAAACTGGATTTTTATATTTTTATAACTTTTTAATATGCTTTTAGGATGGCACCACACCTCTCATACTTTCAGCAGCGGGCGGCCACACGCCATGTGTGCTGGAATTGCTTGAACAGGGCGCAGATCCGAATTCACGACGCGCTACTGGCACAACACCGTTATTTTTCGCAGCACAGGGTGGTTACCTAGATGTGGTGAAAATATTGATAAAGGCCGGCGCTAGCGTGGATACGCCATCGGTGGTAAGTTTAACATTTTTTTTTCCAAAAAATATAATATATTAATGAGTTATAGACAAATAAAAAAAAAATTTAGGAATCTGGGAAGTTTAAGTTTTTTTTTATCAAAACTGCTTTACAAATCAAAATTAAAATTTTCAAAAAATAAGTAAATAAATTAGGCCTTTAAAATTTGTATAAAGTGAAAAAAATCACAGTAGAATGAAACCCCTTTCGAAAAAAGGTAAAGTTTCAAAAACGAAGGGAAAAAAAAATTTCGGGCGCACTGAATTTGGAAAGAGGAAGGGAAGGAGCGTGGTTAATTTTTTAAGGCTTAAAAACAGTTTATCTCAATTTGTAGGACTACGAGTCCTATGGAAAAATGTTACAGAAAAAAGTTGTAGATAAAAAGGTCTACAACTTTCGTGTTAATACTTCTTTTACATAATCTCAAAACTTATGTAAAGTATTCAAAAGGGCTTTATACTATTTAGATTTTTATTGCTTTTATTGCCTGGTCTAAATTTAAAAATTATATATATGTATGTAAGTCTAATATGATTTTAATATTACATTTTCTTTTAGGATGGCGGTACCCCGCTATTTGTCGCTGCTCAAGGTGGTTATGTGAAATTGGTTCGTGAGTTGCTGGACTGTGGCGCCAATGTGAACGCGTGTATGAAGGTGAAGTAAAAAAATTAAGCAAATGCTAAGTTCGTTAAGTTAAGTTAAGTAAAGTTAGATGTTAAGTTTAAAAAATATAACTATGCTTACTTGCTAAAGGTGAAATAAGCCAATTAAGTTAAGGTTAAGTTAATTTAATTCAAGTTAAGTTAAGTTAAGTTAAGTAAAGTTATGTTAAGTTAAGAACAGTTTAGTTAAGTAAAGTTAACTTACGTTAAGTTAGGGATTTTTATGTTAAGTTACGTCAAGTTAAGGTTTGTTATGTTAAGTTTAATTTGAATTTTGCTTGCTTGATCAGGCTGATATACCAAATTAATTTCCGATTAAGTAAAACTTTAACGCGTTATGTTACTTTATGGTTAATTAAGTTAAGTTACGTTGCTAATTGAACTGAACTTAGTTAGTTACAGCACGTTAGCATTTCTGCGGTTTAGTTTTTAAAACAAAAAAAAACAATTTTTTCCGGTATTCTCAAATCTCTTGATTAAATTCATTTATGAAACCTATAACAAAGGGGTCAAAAGCACCTACTTGTATGTTATATGCTGAGCTTAACATTCTTGTCTTCTTTTCCACCAAAACACAGGATCGCGCCACACCCGTTTTTATAGCTGCACAAAACGGTCATCGCACAGTGTTATCACTGCTCATCACGGCGGGCGCCAACCCCGATATGAAGCGCATAGATGGTGCCACACCACTTTGGATCGCCGCACAAATGGGACACGATCACATATGTAAAGTGTTGTTGCAAAATGGCGCTTTTGTGGATGCCGTGCGCTGTGATGGTGCGACGCCACTCTTCAAGGCGGCGCATAAGGGACACGCGGCGGTTGTGACTGAACTCTTGAAACACAGACCTAACTTGGGCCTACTACCGGTAGGTGACGATCACTTTTAGTAATGAAAAAGTATTTTTCAACAATTAAGTTTTTTCAGAACGGCGAAACAGCATTGCATGCGGCAGCTATGTTCGGCCATTTAACGGTTTGCAAGCAACTGATCGCTGCGGGCAGCGATATACTGCAGAAAAACCAGGAGGGTCTCACCGCCTTGCAGGTGGCGCGACAGCAGAAATATTCGTCGATCTATGATTATCTGCAGGATCGTTTGCGCTTGGTGCGCGCGCGTGCTGCTACAGCTACATAAATACCGTTATTGTGTGTGGTTAAGACAAGTGGCAGCTTTAAGTTGTTAAAGTTGGGTGAAAATGGTATTTGGGGTAAAGCCGCTTACCATATATAAGCATATTTAGTTAGTTTCGCTATACAATTGTGGACACGAGCGTCTGTAGGCGTGCGGAGAAGTATTTGAAAAACTAAACTCGAAAATAGAATTGAATAGCCAAAGCAAGGGTGGGTTGTTTTTACGTCCAAAACGCTGAGTTGAAAAATTATGTCCAAGAAATTGTTGAATACTGTGCGGTGAGATGGCTCTCAAAAAAAAAAAAATGATGTAAAATTTAGAATTCAGGTTTTTTGTATATATAAATCTATAATTACATATATGCATATTGTACTTCATTCTCAAAAGTGAGCTTTTTTGTTTTATTTAAATTATTGGCACTTTTTATGAATTATATTATATAATAATAAAATTATTTATGTAAATATGTTTATGACAATAACATATATATTTGGTAAAATATTTTTAGTTGTTTATTTTTAAGCTTTATTTTCAATAAGAAAAATTGTTAAAAAATTTTAATTTTTTTTCAAATAATTTTAAATTGTAGAAAATTAAATTTAATTATACAATTAAAAAATAAAACATAAAAAATTTAAATAAAAAATTTTAAATAAAAAAGGTTTTGTTTTGAAATATTTTTTATCAAATAAATTTTTTCAATATAATTTTTCGGCGTACAGGGTTGCAAATAGCAAAAGTAGTGATTAATTTCTTGTTCTAAATATTATTCTCCGCTATTCCTGTAAAAATTGAGATATTTCTTAAATATACGTAAATATAATTTTTGGTGAAATAGAAAATTCTTTGTCAAAAAGAAATAATTTTATTGTTTATAAAATATTTCTGATAATAGTATATACATGCATACATATGTGTGTATATTTGGTACCATATTTTTATTTGTACAATATTTTTTGGTGCAATATTTTTATTTGTTTACTTTTTCAGGCATTATTTCAATAAGAAAAATTATTTAAAAATTTTTTTTTTTTTAATAAGGAAAAAATATTCTGAAAAAAATATTTTTGAAACTTAAATTTTTTATTTTACGTTTTTATAAATAACAATACCTTTTGAATTGTGAAAAATTTTATTTATATGTATAATTTATATAATTAAAAAAATTAAATTAAAAAAAAAAAAAATTTTTCAGAAATATCTTTTTGGCAACATTTTTCGGCGAACAGGGTTGCAAATTGCAAAATTATTGAATATTTTCCTTTTCAAAATTATATTCTTATCTTCTCTTGCAGTATTTGATTTCCACTTTCTAAAATATTTGTTATCTGTTTGTCTAGAATTTAATTTTCAAATTGTAAAATTTTCGTTAATTTGAAAACTAGAAAAAATGTTATCTGAAATCATTTATTTATCTTTTTACCAATAAATATTAATTAGAAATTTGTTTTGCTGAGAAATACTTTTTTAATTCTTTTTGTTAAAAAAAAGTTTGTTATTTTTTTGTAATTTTGTTTCTTAAAAAAATATTTTTTTGTAAATTTTTTAGCTAACAATAATTTATTAAAATATTTTTTTTTCAAAAATAAAAAAATATATTTTGATTATATTGAAAGTTTCAAAAATTGCATGTATTTCTTTAAAATAGTTTTTAAATTCCGTTTGTTAAAAAAAATTTTTTATTTTTTGAAAAAATGTATTTAAAAATACAAGATCGAGAATTGATTATGTTTTCAATTTTAGTTACATGCATTTTTGATTTTCTTTTTTAAAAAAAAATATTGGTTTTTTTTATAATTTTCCTAAAATGAAAAAAATAAACGTTTTTTAATGAATATTTAATAATAAAATATTAATATTTAATTTAAATTAATATTTTTTATTTAAATATTTTAATATTGCTTTATTATTGCAATTTATTTTTATTTAAGTGAAAATCGGCAATATAAATAAAGTCTGCTGAGAAAAAGTTTGCTGTTATAAACAAAAAATTATACATTTATTAAATATCTTTTTGTTGATAACTTGTATTCAGTTTCGAAATAGATATTATTGGAAATTTTTTTTTGAAAAATTTTTTAGGAAAATCTGATTTTTCAAAATTTTTTCAAAAACAAATTGTATTATATTCAGTTTTTCATTTTTGAAATGTTGGTTATAAAAATTTTCATCTCAGCCGATTTTCATAGAAGCCATCTCACAAGCCGAGACTACAAAAAACCAAAATATATAAATTCAAAAGCAAAAACAAAAGTAAAAATCTTTAAGTTCTGAATCTCAAGCCATAGTAGATATGTTTGCGAAAAAAGCCTCTGAAATTAATAGCGAGCTTTGCAAAACTGTCCAAGAAATCATTCAACATATTTAAAAAAAAAAAATTAATAAAATAACCGAATTTACACCGCTACATATTGCAAACTTCTTATGCATTAGAAAATCAGGTTAAATACTTGCTGACACCCACGCGAAATAAAAAAAATCACCAGAACATACAAGTAGAACAAAATTGCAATTTTTGAGTACTTTAAAAAAGAATAAGCACAAGCTGATACTCGCATGAATACCGTTAAACTTTGACACTGTAGTTTACATATTAAAAATATTCAGTAAAAAACAGAAGAGTGAGAGTGGATAGTAAGGGAGTCGAGCGCATATTAAACTCTTAGCACAATACATTCATTTGCCTTTATATATTTCACTGACTAACTTTTTCGATGATTCATAAAAAATATATAAATATAACATATAATGCGTCCATATATTAAAAATATACCAAACAAATAAAAATATTAAACAAATATCATATTTCAATTTACAAATAAAAATTTTGAACTTATTTACAAAATACCTAAACTTAAAAAATGTGTGTGTAAGAACTTTGTAAATTATTATTTATATAAATATTATTAAATTATAAAAAAAAAACATTGTTGTTTTCCGAAACTTTTCTAACCAATAAGTTGTTGCATGAAAATATTATTATTAAATAAAATTTGTAAATAATGGCGCGTGAAAAATTTGTAGCATACATATACCGTTAAGTGTATTGTAAGATATTGAGGATTAGGTATCGTAACGTGATGACGTCATAAGCAATTAACGAACGGTGCAATAAAATTATAGAAAGGGACAATTTAATTGGGAAAATATAGGTAATTTATTAAAAGCATTTAAAAAATCATAATTCAAAGTGTTTTGACCAAAAATTAATATTGAAATTTGCATTATAACCTACACATACTACATACTAACTTAAGCTATCATATTTATTAAGTTATTGAAAATGTAATTTATTAAATACTGTATTTAAATTCGCATATAAATGAACTGAGTCCACGGAGAGTTGATTGGATAAGTAAAATAAAAAATTATTAATATTTGAAAATTTTGATTGACTTTTTCGAATTATATTGGCTGAGAATCGAATTTTTGGGCTGAGAAGACTTAATTAAATATTTAAAATAATTTCAAATAAATTCAACTTCTATTTAAGCAATCAATTCATGCTTACCGAAAGCTTTCATTAAGCTCAAGTTGTTTGCTTCCCTCGTGTAAGCATTCTTTGAGTTTTCAATTAGTTTTAAATTGAAATTATTGTTATTAAATATTACTAATTATATTTATAAAAGTGCTGCCATTTGGTTATTCTTCTTTTTTAGTTCGAAAAATAACATTTTTTGTAATGTATAACTTAGTAAATGAAAATTCGAAAATTATTCACACATTCATTCAAAAGCTTTCATTAAGTTAAAACAGTTAGCTTCCCTTGTAAAAGCTTTCTTCTAATATATTATTAATTATATTTATATAAGTACTGCCATTTAATTTTTAGTTAAACATTTATTTTGTTGTAATTTATAATTTAATAATAGAGTTGAAAATTTTCCACCGTTCAAGCAAATGTATCGTAATATTTTTTGAAAGCCGATGTTTAGCAATTAATTTTATAAACTAATGATTTAAAATTGTTTCAAATAATTTCTAATGATAAAAGAAAAATATTTGTCAAGTACACCTCTTACCCTGGAATTGCCCACTTGTGTATTTTGTGCCGCCAGAGTGCCGAAAATGAATTCATTTACGTTCTCTGCTGATACTACAAAGCAAAGTTCCATACCTAAACTCAAAAGCTTGGTTGCTGACTTGGATATATCGTAAATATAGCTGTTATTAAATTGCAAGCTTTTTCGTAAGTGAATGTATGTATGTGTTGAAAGTTTTTGAATTTGCAAATTTCTACCGACTTATGAATTATAGTATATCGGGATTTGCACTATATCTTTTCGGGACCCCAAAATTTTTTGGTTTTTTAATATGAAACTGACTTACAAATTATATATGTTATATATTTCGGGATTTGCTTACTACACTTTCGGAATCCCGAAAATTTTCGAAATCTTAAATTTCTTTCTGCATTTTGGTTAAGTTCATAAATAAATTTTAGGTCTCTCTGAAAATGTCAGGTGTATGAAACCGCCTTATGAATTATGTTATTTCAGGATTTACATATTATACTTTCGGGGTACTAGATTTGTTTCTGGATTTTGACAAAGTTCATAAATAAATTTTAGATCTCTCTGAAAAATTCTAGCGTATGAAACCGACTCATGAATTATGTTATTTCGGGATTCTTAGATTACACTTTCGGGATCCCGAAAAATTGCGGGATATTAGATTTTTTTTTGGATTTTGTTTTAATTTATAAACATAGTTTAGGGCTCTCCCAGTATTTCAAGAGTATGAAATCGACATACGAAATTTGTTATTTCGAGATTTACGCATTATACTTTCGAAATCCCAAAAATTTTTGGGGATCTTAGAGTTATTTTCGGTATTTTGTTCCAGTTCATAAAAATAGTTTTCGTCTCTCACGGAATTTCAAGTTTTCAACATTGACAAGGATTTCTGCGTATAAGTATTCTATTGGAAGAAAGAAGCTTTTAATAACGATCCAGGCCCGAAACTATTGAAAAAGGTAATGACAGCAGCAGTAAGATATACCATAATCTGCATACATGTGTAATACAAAAACACATATTATATACGGCTAAAACTTTACATTATGGAAAGCTTCTTGCTGAAAAATTGTTCGATATCGAGATTTCTCTAAAATACCTAAGAATGATATCTACTTAAATACCTATATATATAATAATATATACTTATTTTTCTAAAGAAGGATGTTGGATATAAAGAGTTGTGATATAGGCTGTTGATGCTGTTCTTGGTTGAACTATTTCATTCTCAAATTTATTGGGAATTGGGAATAGCGTACAATAAATTTGAAGCGGTGTTTTCCGGAAAG